ATTATTCTTTTTCCAATTTCTAGGAACTTTTATAAGCTTTGAGGAAAGTATTCATTTGTGTCCTAAACATGAGTCATTTAAGCAGAAGAAGACTTCATCCATAAGTATGTGAATGTTGCTTGAGCTCTTCCTTTCCTGACTGCACTGTAAGCATTCATTCTTATCTCATAATTCATTTGTGTTATACGTAATATTATGTTGCTTTTTGTTTCATTTTGTTGCATTTTGTTTCTTTTTGTTGATTCCTTTTCGTGTTACATTATGTTGTTTTTTGTTGCATTTTGTTTCTTTTTGTTGAATTTTGTTGTATCATGTTTTTTTTTGTTGCATTGTGTTGCTTCCATTCATCATTTTTAGGCAATAAGATTTTATTGCTTTGCTCTAGCTCCATATGATGCCAAATATTTTGGGATTTTGTACCATGAAAGGTTAATCTTATTGTCCCTGAAAAATGTGAGACTTTGTAAAGAGGCAGTGTAATAGGATATTCTACGTATGTTATTGCAGGTTTATAACCTCGCTGTAGCGTTCTCCTTTTGATTTTGAAACTTAGCTTTTTCTTTATCAATTTTTGTTGCAACCAAACTAGGATTTGTTTTGATAAGCCAATTTGCAGTCAATTTATTTATTGTCTTCAACATGCTTTAATACCTGTGAATTATTTGTAGCACTCTAAGAAGCCTTCCATGAGTCATACTGAAGGTAATCCAGCAACTATTTTGTAACCACACAAGCAATCGTCATTTGTCACTTGGAGATCTGTGAGCTAAACGGTTGAAAGTACAAAGCAAGCATTGGACAAGTATAGGCGTATAGCTCATCTCTTCTCCTGCTTTTCATTGAAGCATGCATTTCAATGGACTACCAAGGAAATGGCAAGTTTTTGTGCAGGCTTACTTTTTGTTTATTTTAAGGAAGCTTGTCAAAAACAGGGAAATTATTCTTGTTCAATTACAAATAGGGAAAATATTGTTGTTAAGGTAGTTGAGGATTAACTACATTCACATTTATATTAAATCAGTAATTAGTCTTTTCATTTGTTTTGGTGGATTCAATAGCTTGGTTTCAAAATGGATTTTTAATTTTGTTGTTTCTTGTTTATTTATGTTTCTATTTGTTTGCAGTAAATCCATATATACTTATGTGTGTTGTGCGTTGTGTGTGGATGCACACATATAATGATAAAATTGCACTTGTGAAAATCAAGTAACATAAATAAACAATAAAAAGCAACGTATGAAAAATATAATGTTTTTAACAAAAATAAAAAATTGGTAGCTATTTTAAATAATAGAAAACCTCTGTTTTTATTTAAATTACCATTTTTGCCCAAATTCATTACTAATTATAAATATTTCGGAATTTTTAGTATATACTTTATGTTTTTTCAATATTAATATTTTTTAAATATAGTATTTATTTTAGTTTGTTTTTTAAGTTGTGTCAATTTTGTTTATTGATTTTTTACAGCTTTATACGTTTTTTACATAAAATATATGGAGTATTAGGTATTAAAAAAACATTGGAAAAAACATACTTCCTATTCTTTTTACAACCTTTCCCAATTTTAACTTTTCTACATATTTTCCGATCTTCATTTTTTAAGATTATGTATAAGTTTTTTAATTTTTTTATTCAGTTTTAAACTTTAGAATTTTTTTTCTTAATTTTTTAAATTTAATTACATGTTTTTAAGTATGAGATTTTCTATATTTTTTATTTTTAAATTCAAATTTTCACATTTTCTTTCTGGAATTCTATTACTTCTAATTATTTTCAACATTTTACTTTTTAATAATTGTGATATATCTGTTTTGTAGTTTTATTTTTTCGGCAAATGTTTTGTAGTTTGATTTAAAAACAAAAAAATGTATAATTGGTGTACTTTCTATTTTTTTTTATTGGTTTGTCAACTAACGGGACTTGGTGACTTCCATCGCTAGTTGCTAACTGAGCTATAATGCTACTACGTATATGCGTCGAAGGACCAGAGGTACCAGAACACAAGTGTGTTCCGGCGGTGCTGTTGTCTATTAGTGAAAAGAAAAGTCCAGCTGGTTTGTTTTTGAAAAACCTTTGAAAAGGAGAAAAAAGTGATATTATTTTCACTTGTTTGACCGCTTGTGTAAAATTCCCAAGCTAATATAGGGCTGGGTGTTCCGTTGAAAGTTGTGCCGCTTGACTCTTGGTTGATAACCACATACTCCATCCGTCCCTTAAAACTTTGCCAACTTTCCTTTTTTGGTTGTCCCAATAACTTTGCCACTTTCCATTTTAGGTAAAGAATTTGTGGTTCCAATTAATTCTCTCTCATCTGCACTAACCTCAATCACACAGTTTTTACTTTATTAATCTCCGTGCCGGTCAAACTTGGCAAAGTTTTAAGGGACGAGGTAGTATCAGATTCAAATGTTTTATACACGGGGTAAAAACTCAATAACATACTCCATGGAGGAGATAAAGCATATGGCGATCGACGGTGGCGGCCGCACTGGATTGAAACTGCTCGGGACCAGGTGCCTCAACAAACAATTTTCCGATCTTGGGGGACGAGGATGGCAGATCTAGGGCTTTCTTTTTCAGCAACGGTGGCCAACATAGGGGGATGACGCCATAGTTAACTTTGCGGAGGCAGTTCCAAGGAGGAATAGGAGGCCAGCGACTGCGAGTGGTGGTTTGGCAGACTCTACGTCTTTGGGCTCTGCGGCTTGCGGACTTCATGAAGAAGAAGACAAATAAGATTTCTTCTTATTTTCCCGGGGCTTCTGATGTCAAGGTAAGCTTCTTCAACTAATTTTCTTTGCACCGTTAGTTTCATATTGGAAATTTAATATTTATTTGTTGAAATCTTCAGTATAGAAGTTTCTTATGTATTTTTTTGAGCTATCACTAGCTTCTGTTGAAGCAGAAGAGATCTTTTCAATACATTTTAGAAATTAAAGAATCAATTTATACTAAAGAGTCGGTTTTAAAAGTACTACATATAGTTTATTTTAGTTATGTATATGTACAATATTCATAGGCAGTTTAAATGATTTTAAATGATTGATTTAGTAGGGCTTGGGCCTGCAGTTTCCTCGCCATCTTTGGGATCTGACGGAATCTGACTTTGCGACTTGCTGGATTCATGTAGAAGAAGACGGATAAGTGAGTGGCACAAACACAACCTGAAGCGGAAGACTAGACAACTTCCTCCTTACTCTGCACAAGAGTGTATATGTCTGAACTGGAACTTGGTGACTCAAAGGCTGACTTGAAGGAATATTCATTTTGAGATGTGGGAACAAGTTTTGCAGGTTTCAAGCATCACAATAATCTGGTCCGTAATGTTGGTGGGTCATATTCCTGGGGGTTTTATCTTTTGAATCTGAAATATACAGTGTAACAAACTTACATCAAAACTTTAAGAATTTGATGAATTTTTTTAGTTTTAGCTGAAAAAATCGGTATGACTAGAATTATTTGGACTAGGCGTAAGCCGCGTGACTGTAAACTTTTAGTATTTACTACGTATGACAAAAAACATCATTTGGTATAGGTTAATCTCATCTTCAAACTCAATGTTGATAAGTTTGATAACCATGTGTTTCAGTGTTTGTGGTAATGACTATGAGGATCTCATTTAGTGATTTTTATTGTTTCACAGAGGCTCACCTCAGCCGCCTGAAGATGTGTCCCCTACTTCTTTCAATTACGTACTCAATTCCAGATGGAGAGCTTGGCGCCTTGGCCAAATATTCATCACATGTTTGACGATAGGGAATATAACTTGGGGGATTTCCGGATATATTATGTTCAGGACATATTATTTTAGATATCCTGTTTTCTTTTTTATTCAAAAATAATAATTTTTAAGTTTATTTCAAATAGATTTGTTTGGGAAGATTCACGCAACTTCAGTTTATAAAGGTGTGCATATAAACTCAACTTTTTACATGTTTGATAAATGTTTTTTTTCATTTAATAGAACATGGCATGAGAGTATAACATCGACCCTTGATGTGGTTAAACAAGAATACAAATTTTCAATTCTGCCATCATAACATGACATGAGAAATAAACTTGAAATTGTCTTGAAATTGTTTGAGTAGCAATAACCAAAGCAACCCATAATTTTCTGTTTTTAAATAGCATTACAGAAACAAACTTGCCATTGATGTTACAAGTTTACTCATTTTTGTTTTCATCCATTCAAGTGATATGATTTTGTAACTGATAGATGGGGCATATGATTCTTTTTTTTGTATATCACTAAATTACTAAATTGCTTCATGACTTTCTCTATAAAGTTTTCTCTAAAAAAGAGTTAGATTTACGATATTGTGTATGTGAATCTTCAAATTGAACCGAGAGAAATGTATGAGCAATAAAAATGTGACAAATATGAGTGACCCATCAAAAAATAAAGTCACCTAAACGATTTTAGACTCACGCATTTTATCTTCAAGAGGTGGTACTCACATGTTTTGTTTGAGTGTGTCATTCCTTGTGCGATTTTGAAAATATTGATTTGCGTCGAATATGACGAATGAATTGACCATACTACCAATGTAGTTTATAAGGAAGTGCTTCGATATTAATTATGTAGATCGCAGAAATATTATTGTAATATTTATTTATTCCTTCTTATTCTCAAACATACTACATATCAATTATGCGTCGTAACTATATTTTCCTTGCTTATAATTTTTTTATCTATACCCTTTAGATTTATTTACACATTAACAAATAATATCAATAATAATAATACTCTATATCATATTCGCCTATTCAAAGTAGACATTCCTTAATTTTTGTCCTGTGTATCGCACGGGTGAAAATCTAGTTACAAAAGATATTCTAAAATTTGGAGGGTTTTCAACACTAGAAGCTGAAAATTAAAGAAAACAAAGAGAAGGAAAATTGGCTGAGAAGAAACGGCTGATTCTTCATGTATGTGCATTAAAAAGCGCCATTATGAGACGTCTTTTCCCTCCCTAGACTCCATTTTTTGTTTATTAAACTACGACTATCTTCATTCTCTCTCAACTGAACTACTACTATTCCTCTCTGTCAACCCAGCTTTGCCACTCCGCTCTCACCCAGCCATGAAAGCTCAAGTTTGGGTTTTTCTTCTTGGCTTCCTACTCCTACTGCAATGCTGCCATGGTATTTTCACCACATCTTCTTTAAGTTTCACCTACCTTTAATCTTAAACTCACTTTTTACTGTATTTGATTAGTGTTATTAATCGCTTTTGCCATATAACTTGTTCGGTACAAAAGAAACACATGGTTACAACTTACAACCAAATACTAGTACTACTTTAGGGAATTGCAAAAAAATTATACACATTTCGCATAGATGGTACGTAATTGTCCGTGCATACACACAACATGTACACTTTATATTTGCCTGTATGTAACAATTACATACAAATGTGTGAGATATGTGTACAAATTTCATGCACAACAAAAAATGTTGTAGTTCAAATTTAGATGATTTTGGGTAGATTTTAGGAATGTAACCTGACATGCATTTATTGTACAGATAAATTTATGGGAGGATAAATAATGCAAGTACATGGATTATTTAGTGATAGCTTTTAATGTTAAAACTGAAACAAAATGGACACAAGCTTATACTGGATATATACGTTTCATATACGGAGTATTAATTTCATTAATATAGGATTTTTTTTGTGTGCAAAATGTTCAGTTACCAAAGTAGATGCCAGGATACAAAGGAGGAGGAGGATGGAATCTGCATCTGCTTTGCCCGACACAACCACTCACTCTCCGCCGGAGGGCAACACCACATTCCTCGGCGGCACGACTTGGTGCGTGGCCCGCGGCGGCGCGTCGCAGTTCGATTTACAGGTTGCATTGGACTGGGCTTGCAGTCAACTGGGGCCGGTCGAGTGCGGGGCGATTAAACCAGGCGGCCCATGCTTTGAGCCCAACACTCTGCTTTCCCATGCCTCGTACGCTTTCAATAGCTACTACCAGCAGAATGGGAACAATGACGCGGCTTGCTACTTCGGTGGAGCTGCCACGCTCACCGGAAACAACCCCAGTGAGTAACCATCCTAGCTACTCAGCATTCACTACTAATTTGGCTCACACAATATTTTTGTTGAATAAGAAATGTTCCTGAATATTCGATTTTTTCATTAAAAATGTGTAATTATTTTGAGAATACTATATTTATATACTTCCTCCGTTCTTTTTTAGATGCAACAGTCAACATTTCACACTTGCCAACGCACGTCTTTGACTGTAATTATATCTTAATCTCTATTAGTAAAAAATATTTAAAAATTAGATTTTGAAAATTTGTGATGAGATGAATTGAACAATAATTTTTTTAAAAAATAATTTTCATAAAATAATAATATAAAATGTAGTCAAAGTAGTATATGTGAATAGTATAAAATTCAACATGTTGCGATTAAAAAGAGACGGAGGATAGTATAACATAAAGCCCCTTTGACTAAACACGTGGTTTTGAAGTTGAATCGTAACGATAAGAAAAAGTAAGGTTGAAGTTACTATTTTGACTGTATTGGTTGCAGTTACGGTACGAGATCATTTTAGTTGATTTTTCATTTAATTTTTTCTTTATCTTATTAATAAGATGTATTTTACATATAATTTTTCCTAAATTAGCAGAATCAATCAATTCAGCCACTTCAACCAAAACTTTATAAATTAAATTTCACCAAAATTAGCGAACATTATTGATTTGAATATTACCAAACAGGCTCATAATTGGAAGTAATTTCTCGCTGTGTATGGTCACGTGCATACTACATCACGCTGAACCTTTATCCTGGCTTGAGACATACATTTCACAAAAAATGATCTCACTAATGAGCTATTTTTTGAGAAAAAAGACATAATATATATTCATACTTTGAAATATCACTAATCAAATTTTATTCCTCTACGTACTAGAAAAAATGTGTCATTGCCAATCCCAAAATCTTTTGAAGCTAGGCTTGGAGAAAACATATTGGATTTTATACGATAGGAGATCTCAATCTAGTTTATTCCTCTAAAGGAGTTATTATTGTACTATTAAAGTGTCACGTTTTGAAGAATATGGCTGATTTTAATGAAGAAAAAGTGTGATTCCATTATCCAAATTGAATTTCAGAATGACATAGTAGACAAGCTCCATCGTATAGTTATATTGAGATATCAAATTTTGAATTGACATGTCAAAGAACACCCCAAATGAATATGAATGACTTTATAATGGAGTCATATATGTCTATATAAGTTACCTCTACGATTTGTACCAAAATGTACCAAATAAAATATACGGAGTATAACATAACCACTTGTTGATTTGCAGGTTATGAAACATGTACTTATGCAACCTCTGGTCACTACAATGGGTAATGTTGTTCATGTCATCCCGACTTATTATATAGATCACATTTGATGCAAAAGTCGTTATTTTTCATTGTGAGTCCTGATCAGATGTGAATAAAATATAGGGACATGAGGTCATCAGAAGCTGCAAGGCCGCCAATGCACAAGGAAAACATATATTGGTGGCAAATAAGCAGTCTCCTAATGCTTCTGTATCTGAGAAGCTGATCGATCGAGCATTTAATTTAATTGAGGGTACTTGTTACGGAAAGGACGGCATTGCTAAATGTGTCCTTTGGGCTACGTAACATTCTTTTCTTTCTATTTGGTTTAAGAATCTATGGTTCTATGCCTCTCCATTTTTGTAACTAAGAATTTAGGTACAAGAGAATGTTTTAATCTTCTTTTGCCAAAGCAATTACTCCCTTTTTGCTTTTTTATATTAGCATGGGAAGTTACATCTGCAGTAACTGAAAAATACGGAGTATATATTATGAATACAAAAACCTTACTTTCTACATGATGCAAGCAACTAGAAGTATGCGTCTCTGTAGTAGCCATTGGCCCATTAGTGCACTTTGTGGCTATTCCACAACTGTGTGGGTAGAATAGTGTTCATATTCGTTCTTTTCTTATTAGAGAATTTTAAAGCACGTGTTTAGTTAAATTTGAGTAATAAGTTTAATATGATAGCATATTGATGTTTCTATTTGTTAATTCATTTTTAATAGCTTAGTTCACTCAAAATCGCTAAATATAAGTATTAGTTTACTCTTCATTGATCAACATCATTTACCCCTGTGGCGCAACGGCTCCCACCTACGGTGGGGTAGGGAGTTAGATGTACGCAGTCTTACTCCTTTACTAAAACAAAGAGAGATTGTTTCCGGATGACGCATAGTGAAAATCGAGTCCGAAATTGCATGGACTGACTGCTTCTTCATAACAAAGAAGCGCAGACAGTTTAGTGAGCCATTTTGCTTTATTCCATAATATTTTCAAGCCAAAAAATTTACTCTTCATTGATAAATATGATAATCACTATCTATTACTCCGTATATATCTAACCCATGTGTTGTACACGGTATGCAAAGTTTGAGTTATATACGAAGTACTAGCGTTTGATCGCGCAAGGCGCGAGAGCTTTTGACCAATAATAATTTCTTTTATAAATAACTATTATACTTAGTATGTGAGATTGTTACGAGTACTTTTAAATAGTTTGCGAGATTGTTACTTTTTGTAAATAATCGGAACAATTATATTTCTAGTCCACCAACTACTTTGTGGAAAATTGCCTACATTTCTTAATTAAAAGTATGCAATTCTAAGAATTAACCACATAGTATATTTTTCATTTAAGTATATGAAATAGTTGTAATGACGATATGTTTTCATTATGCAATGTGACAAGAGTGTTACCACCTTAAGAGCCTTTTTGGTAATGCCAAAATCGGTTGAATCAGCTGATTTTGTTAAAATTTATGAAATTCTGGTTGAAGTGGTCATCATATTAGCCGTTTCTACTGATTTTCGAAAAATGATATTCAAAATATATTTTATTAATAAAATAAAGCATAAAGAAAAAAATACTACGTATATGTGAAAATAGCCAAAATGGTCTTCTATAGTAACTTCAGTCAATACAACCAGAAAAGTAACTACAAACTTATTTTTTCTTATTATTACACAATTTATCGAGTGAAATCAAAAGTTACATGATATGTTTGATAAAAAATTGGTTGATAAGCCTGATAAGCTATAAAAACAAGTTTACCAAGCTTTAGGCTCTGTTTGCAATCTCTGTTGATAAGTGCTTTTTGCTTTTTTTTAAAGAAAAAAGCACTTATTTTATCAAATACTACCAACTTTTATTATCTCGGTTTTCGTGTAAAATCTACTTTTTACTTTTTCTATTACACAAAAAGCACTTATTTTACCAAACACTACCAACTTTTACTACTAACCACTTTTTTCCAAAAAGTGCTTCTGGTTGCAAACAAAGCCTTAAATTATGTGCGTGAGCTTGTAGAAGTATAGCTGTATAAGTGTTGGGTGACTTTCAAAGTTAAAAGAATCCAACTAGAATGTTCTGCAAGCTAAGGCGTGGAGGATAATTTTTTCTGATCTTCTACGTGGTCGCATGGGGCTGGCCTATTCAAGTTTTTAGCAAGGCATAGGGTAAGGGAAATGCCAAGCTGGCATCCTTCTCTTAATAACCAACCTTAAAGGCTTAAATTAGCTATGACGGAAGAGGCTATCTAGTTTTAGGTTTTGAAAAGTTCACGGAATGTTAACGTTAGCAGAGAAGTGTAAGGGTTAATAAGTCATATTAAAAGTAGGGTTCTATTTTCTAAGAGCAGTGTACAACTTTTTATGCACAAAGTGTGTTGACATAAATTAAGGGTGTCAACCTTCATTCACAGTTATAATGTTGTTAGATTTGACAATGTATGCCCGTCAATACCTTGGGTTTGAACGGATATCCAGCATAAGCCCGGTCTTTTCAATGAGTATAGGGATACTCACATGTGGAGTTCAAACGTTTTTGTAAGTACGCAAGTACCCCTTTTGTACAACATAACTATTATTGGATGTTTATTCAATTATTTGTGTACGAGACTCTCACATTGAATATCTCAAATATTCACTTTCATCCTCATTTATCAATGTACACCAATTGGTATTGTGAGACACCCTTACGCCCACCTCACTCACACAGTCACACTTGGTATATTTCAATTATACAAAGTATATTTACAGTTGATAATTTCTCGTGGCGCAATTTATCACCTCATCACATAGTATAAGCCCGAACCTTTAATTGGTGGAAAGAGTTGAGTTTATTTCTCCGTATAATTGATCTACACTCATAAATCATTTCATTTTAAGCTCAGATAATTAAGTTACTCCATACGTAGTACTATATATTCATGTAGTATAATAACAACTTTATCATTCGGAATGTAAACTTATTATAGCCTCAATCTTTTGATTGCTACATACTTTTTATTCGTGAGGAATGAAAAGTTATGTGTTTAGTGAAACTGTTGATTGATAAAGTTGATAAATCGAAATCCACACAATTACCAAACGATTGTAATATCTTCCTAATACTTATATAGGTAATATATCAATGATTCTATGTTTTTTTTTAAATCAGTTGGTTCACTCAAAATTGCTAAACATAAGTATTAGTCTAGTCTCTTAATTCAAACTACCTACTAGTATTAAACAGCTACTAGTATTAAACAGGTTGAAAAATGAGAAATACCGACACTCCGCAGTATGGTAGATATTTTAAATGTCGCTACATTACAATTCATATGTATGATTACACACTAGTATATGATAGAAAGACAAATGTGAGGTACTAAACAAATTAAAATATACAGATTAATAATTCAATAGTTACATAACTGCATAAGTAATGAGAAAGATGTCAAATAAGTACATTAACTTGTATACAGAGGAGTGAAGAATACATTATACGTAGTATTGCATTTGATACTCGTACATAACTTGGTCTTTTAGAGTTAATTGAGTATATTTGCTTGACTAAGACTTTACCATATATGGTTGAGTTTGTTAATGGAGTAGTCATATGGAAAAAATAAAATCCCAACCATATTCCCCGATTATAATTAAAGCCACACCTAGCTTAAGAGAGGATGCGAGGACACCCCATTTTCTAGTTCAACTGTTGTACGGACTATATATATAACGGCCGCCAAAGCGCTTCAAATAGTCCCGAATTTCTCCGGCGCTTCTTTTTGTACTCGTTCACACTTAGTTAAGCAAGTTTTATGGTTTAAATAAAATAAATAAAGTTATGTGTACAGAATAAAAGATTTCTGCAAGTAGGATAAGAATATTTTTTCCCAAAATTAATACCTAATGTTTAAATTTCATGAAATGGAATTATTATTGTGATTGGACAAAATATACCCTCATAGGGTCTGAAACGTTGACAGACAACGAGTAAGCCACTGGCCCAAGTGCGTAGAAATCATTTATATTTTTACATAGTAACCTCATCTCGCAGTATATCATAAATTCATCACAAAGGTGTCTATATGATGCCATCACCGATTACTTCACAAAGGTGTCTAGTAGTCTGTACTAAAAAAATGCAAAAATGCTTAGTGTACTCTTTTGTTTGTACATTATTCACAACTTGGGTTTATACACAAATAAAATGTTTGTATGCAGACAATGGTTCAAAAGTATAAAAGTTGTTTGTATATATAGATATGACTGTGTGTAGTGCTGGACTCGGGCCGGGCGGCCCGACCCGGGACCGAACCGGCCCGGTCACTGTTTGGCCCGCCCCGCCCCGTGGCCCGGTGGGTCCACCGGTTCGGTTTGGCCCGGCCCGGGTGCTGGGCGGTCCGGGCTCGGGCCCAGCTTTTGGTGAACCGGCCCGGCCGGTTCGGGCCCGGACCGGGACGGATTTTAATTTTTTTTTTTTTGAAAATTTTTTAAGTTTTAGGTTGGATTAGGTATTTTGGGCCATTTGAGGTGGTTTGGGATGGTTTGGGGTTGAGGGGGAGGGGATTAAATAGGAGAACAAAAAAAAAATTGGGCCGGTTTGGCCCGGCCTGGCCCGGAACCGGAACCGGCCACCGGCGGTTCGGGCTCGGGCCTCCCCTTTCCTGGCCCGAGGCCTGGCCGGGCCCAGGCCCGAACCGGGCCCGAACCGGCCCGAGTCCAGCTCTAACTGTGTGTGTAATGCAAATGATTATAAAAAATGGGTATATGAGTAGGGGTGGACTGTGACAAGGCCGAGACTGGACAGGCTCACACTTCGGGATTTCAGACCCGGTATCAGCCCAAATTTGTACCGGGCCGGGCCTAAACAATACTAGATCGGGCTGGGCTTGAGGCGTTACTGAGCAATAAATTAAAAAAATTGTGCAATCGAACCCGAGCCTAAAAAACGAGCCCAAAACCCATCCTTATAGCCTCCGGGCCGGGCCCAGGCCGATATACTAGCGGGCTGGACAGGGCCAAACAGTATCGGGTTCGGGCCAGGCCCTCGTTGGGCTGACCCGTCCCAATCCATCCCTATATCTGTGATTATTATATGAGGCATTTTTCTTTAAAATGTAACCACACATTCAAATCTTATCCACATGCATCACTTCCAATGGGTGATTGCCATATCAGCAAGTGAAAATCTTGATGTATCCATCAAACTCTCAAACTAAAATATCACAAACAAAACATTTCCACAAAAAAGCCCCAAAACACATATTGCCAGAAAACTTTGATTTCGTTAGTCGAATCAATTCCAGGGCCAGAGCTTTCAAGAACGGAACATGGCAGCCACCATGAGGACTTCTTCTCTTCCACAGTACAATGGCCTCAGAGCAATTGCTTCTCCAGCTTTCCCAATGGTATGAATTCCGCCAATTTCCTTTTTGTACCTTTCATTTAACCAATCTGGTTCCAAACTTGATATACATGTGATTTATTCAGTGGAATATTAGATGAAATATAGAATTATGCTCGATTACTTCACAAACTTGCTATTCTTCAGCTAAATTTGTTTAAGAACATGCTTATTCATCAAAATTGGTATTTGGCATCCACTATTTGTCAAAATATGTTATGACTCGTGTCAAACACAATCAGTCTGTGCCAAGTTTTGTTTTTTGTAGTTAATTAGTGAACACAAGCATATGGCAGTCGAGTTTCTCATTCATCAATTTGTGTGTAACATTACAAAGATTAAACAAGTCTTATTTTTTCGGATATTTTGACTTTTTATAGGTTATAGCCCTGTACACATGCTAATTGAACTTTCATCACAAGTCTTGGCTTTTTGTAATATGCAAAATAAAGAGTTAGGTCACCCAAAAGAATTTTTCTTTTAAAAGCCTAGTCTTTCATAAAACGGATCCATTTTACAAAATTTGATTCAATTTGCAAAAAAGAAAAAAGTAGTACTAAGAATAATTTCAATGAATTAAATTTCTTTCAAATCACTAAATAGCCTCAAACATTGGGTTCTCATTCATTATTTATGTTTCAACTCAACTCACTATAATATCTTATTATTCTAATTTAATCAACTTAACTCACATATTAAAACGGATTCATCATAAATATGATAAAATGGTTCAGTTTTTCAGTTTTTCGCAGTCAATAGTTAATACTAATTTAACTATTGTAATGGAATAGTTAGCTAGCCTTAGCATTGCTAAAACATTGTTTTTGGGATGAAAGAAGTAAAACATTAAACATGTTACTTCACTAACTTTTGATTAAACCAAACAAGACATACAATTTGGGACACATGTAGTACCTAAGAGCATGTTCAATGCACCAATGTGCACGTTGCATAGATGACATCAGAACGAGTGAAAGAAAGATACCTAAAAATAAGTTAATAACATATGTCTCTCTTTCTTTATATGGTCTTATATGTTTTTTGGAACGTTTTCTCAACAAAGTCAACCACGATGTTTACATCTGGATGTTGAACTTGACATTGTGAAGGAAAATTTACCAAAGTTCTTTCAAGACCATTCAAATAATGAAAGAGATGTATACTTATTAATTTTTATAAACCCGTCTATCTCATTTCAAGGATGATAGATGGTAGAGGCATAAATTAAACTAGCACTGGAATTATAATTTGTCCCACGCAGGCTGCCAGACAACCAATGAAGCGCAAGGGACAAGGAGCATTGGGAGTTCGTTGCGAATTCATCGGCTCGCCCACTAATTTGGTAAGAGATCTTCAAATGTTATAAAAACAAAAATAGAAGACAATGGGTTACCATTTTCACAATTTGTACTACAACTATTACAACTTGTTATTTCATCAATGGTTTAGAATTCTTGATCGAGGAAAATTAGGATATTTTTAGTTGAATTGTTTTCAAACTCATACTAACCAGTGTTAAGAAATCAAACCAGATACATTTATCTATTATTTATCTCCTCTCTATACCATGCAATATAAGCTTCTTGGAAGTAAATTACCCAAATTTGGGATAATCACCCAATGACTACGTTCATTAGGAACATACACCACCCCAAAGAATCCAAATTCTAAAGCCACAATTGTTTGGCACAATAATAAGTTACAATTTGAATATCATGAACAGATAATGGTTACATCGACAAGCCTAATGCTATTTGCTGGGAGATTTGGGTTGGCTCCGTCAGCAAACCGCAGGGCTACTGCCGGTTTGAAGCTGGAGAGATGGGACTCCGGGCTCCAAACCGGGGACCCAGCCGGGTTCACCCTTGCTGATACCTTGGCATGTGGCTCTCTTGGTCACATCATTGGGGTTGGCGTTGTGCTTGGCCTCAAGAACATAGGGGCCATATGAGATATAAATTTCCCACCTCCATCTGTTCTGTATATTTTTAACTGTTAATCATGGAAGGATCATTATGTATCTCTTAACTATGTGTATGTATTTCAGTTTATTGCTATTCACATTTTCTCACCATTCATCTCACTCGTTAACAATACGAGGTATGGATCATGTCTTTAGTTTTTGCACAAAATCAGCACCGCTACAACATGCATCTCATATTTTCATTTACACAATTACACATTGGATGAACATTAAAGGGTGTGCACTTCATTCATCTAAAAATCAAACTCCGCTTCTTCCTCTTTAAAATAGATAAGGTTTTGGATACAAGAGAAATGTTGTTTGTAGATGCCATTGTACATGTTGGGCATTTGTTTGTGCACATAAGCACATATAACTTTTTTGGTTTAGTAAAGAAAATTGTGTCTAAGTTGACATAATTCTCTTTACAAAGCGAAAAAAAATTATTTGTGCATTCGTGAAATGCCCATCATCTACGGTGTACACGAATCAAAGTTTTAGATACAAATAGCACTTCCTCTATCCCAAATTGAGTTGTAAAATTGATTTTTTGGGGTCAAATCGATTCATTTTAGTGACTTAATTAGGATATCAATTTTTAGTTAAATTTAGGGGGTGTTTGGAACTGATTCTGCTTCTGCTTTTTTAAAGGCAGAAGCATAGTCAGTTTTCAGAAGCTGGTACCTCCCACCTTCTATAAAACTGATTCTGAGAGTAAATTAGAGCTCCAGAAGTAGGGGTGGGCAAACGGGTACTGGAACCGCAGGTCGGGCTGGGTAATACAGGTTCGGGGCGGGTTAGGGTCGGGTCCGGATTTTAGAAAATCCAAACAGTTCGGGGCGCGGGTCCTGAAAAACTTAGGAACCGAACGGGTCTTAAAATTTGAAAAAACAGGTACCCGGAACGAACCGTTTTAAAATATTGTTTTGATAATCTCTATTCTATTTAATACTAGTATAATATAATATACTAAAAACACACGAAATCTCTTCATGTGCTTGTATCTAGAAACAGACTTTCAATTAAAGAAACTTCTCATTTTATTAAAACTAGTTTCAAAGTCCGTATAATTAAACTCCTAAATTATTTTTCTCTATTCTCTATTCTAAATGCATCAATCTTTCTTTCTTTGATAGTTTTTTTTGTAAACAAAGACCGTTACTCCATGAAGTGTGACATATTCATTAATTATCTTAATTTTACGTATACTTGGAAATTTAATAAGCTTTAAATTGTTTTCATACACAAATATGTATAATAACTAGTTTCATTTCTTATGAATTTATGGTCCTGTCTTTTTAACTGGTTTATGAATGATGATTAACATTTTAATTAAGGTGGTTGCTTGTGTGTTGTTTAATTAATAGAATTGTGGTTCGATATTTTGTTAACTAATTTAAAATGTTGTTTATACTTTTATTTTGAATAAATACTAGATTATGGTGACATAATACTTAATTAATTTGAGAATTTTATAATTTACAGGAAATTTTGCTTGCACAGTCGTATATTTTTTTTTACAAAAAAAGGAACTGAGGACTTGGACCAAACCGGCCCGTTTCAAACGGGGCGGGTAAGGTTCGGTTTCTATTTCGAAAATTGGTATACCCAGACCGAATCTACCTGATAAATGGAACCGACGGTTCTTGAAAATTTATCGATTACCCAAACCGACCCGGACCGTGCCCACCCCTATCCAGAAGTGTTATTGGAATTTCACCCAAACACTCCAGCTTCTGCTTCTGCTCCCTGAAGGAGCAGAATCAGTTTTGAGAATCAGATCCAAACACCCCCTTAGGTTTTGCAAATTATATGTAGAATTTTGATATAGTTTCTAATATGTAAATTTTAATTAATTATAATTGAATGAATGATTTAACTTTAATATTGGTTAACAAAAAAGTGTTTGTAATTTGGGACTGGGAAAAAGTCAAATAGAGCCTCGAACTTATATAAAAAGGTCAAATAAGGCTTTATATAGGAGGCTCTGTCCGGCCGTCGCCATTTGGGGCGGTTCTCGGTGGAATTTTTTGATGAATTTTTTTGAGCATCTTATTTATTAAGTCTAGTTTACTCATACGAAATTTGAATTAAAACTTCAATCGGGAAGTAGGGCTGGATTCGGGCCGGGTCGGGTCGGGTCCGGGATGGGCTTAGGCCCGGGCGGGCCGCCGGTTCAGAATAGGTGGGCCCGGGACCGGCCCGGGTAGCCACCGGGTCCGCTCCGGGCCGGGCCTTGGGGCAATTTTTTCCCTTTTCCTAATTAACCCCCTCCCCCCACCCCCAACTCCCCAAACCACCCCAAATGGCCCAAAATACTCAGCCCAACCTGAAAAGTTAAAAAAAAAATCGATAAAAAAATTAAATAGCTCGGAATCGGCCCGAACTGGCCGGTTCGGCTTTGGGTGACCTGAGCCCGCACCGGGAACCCCTCAGGTCGGGCCTACCCGGACCGGTCACTGGCCGGGCCACCAGGCCGGTTCAGCATAGTCCTGGGTTGGTTCCGGGTTGGGCCACTCGGCCCGAGTCCAGTACTATCGGGAAGACATTCAAATAAATTTGTGAAGATAATTACGTTTTTAACTGCACAGTTATCTTCAAGAATTAATTTGAATGCTTCCCAATTGACGTTTTAACTGAAATTTGGTATAAGTAAACTAGAGTTAATGAATAAGATGCTCAAAAATTTTCATCAAAAAATCTCACCGGGAACTGCTCTTAATGGTGACGGCGGGACAAAACCTCCTATATAAGGCCTTATTTGACCTTTTTATGTAAGTTCGATGTCCTATCTGACTTCTTTCCCTTTGGGAAGAGATAACTAGATATTATTTCAAACTTCATTTCACACGGTTCATAGAATCATATCCATTCGGACCATTCCACTTAATTAGTGTTTCGTAGTAATAATAATTGATCATGAGTGCTTCGTGAAATAAGCTCTTCTTTTGCGGGATTGAACATTCGGGATTATTAATAATTTAAAGAATTCATTTTATAAAATTGAAATTGCCTAAATCGGCAGATTTTGTTAAAATTTATGAATTTTTGATTGGATTAATTGATTCTGTTGGATTTTGAGACTATATATAAATATATTTTATTAATAAAATGAAGAAAATATATATGAAAAATAGTTAAAATGGTCATTTGTAGTAATTTTAGTCAATCCAGTGATAAAAGTAACTCCAATTGTATTTATTTTGGTTATTACACAATCAAAAAAGCTAAATCAACAATTACGAGCTTAGTGAATAATTGTCTTATAAAGCTGATATCAAGAAACAGAGTTAGCAAACGGATTCAAAATCTCTTTCTAGAGCGTGGTTACTTGTTACTCCGTATTAGTTTTACAAGTGTTTGTTCTGGTGGTTTGCCTTTTAGAACCAATATTAGCTCTTTTTTGGAGATTGATCTGAAATAAAGCTAAACGAGCTAACTTGTACGGAGTAATACAGTATTACATGAACCCATCCTCCATGAACTGATTGATGTGGATTCATGTAGAAAATCCGTGGAAAATTAAATACGGAGAACAGTAGTCAGTAGAGCACTCAAGAAGCTCATTTTTACAACGTTTTTATCATATTTTTGTAACGTTTTGTTTACCCAAAAGGTACGACTTTCACAAGTATTTAACGTGGTTAATTAAACACACCATTCCAGATACTGTCAAGTGCAAATCCATGATCATGAAACGGGCTAGTCTTCAATCATATCCCGCAAAAGAAGAGCTTTTAATATTTAACCATGCTTGTGAAGTGTTCTTTTTGACTGTGAACCCGGTTCACATATAATATTTTGTTTGTGCAAAATATTGTCTGTGAATCGGATTTCACAGGAAAAAAAACACTTCACAAACATAGGTGGATACAAAAGTGGGTATAAGAGTGGATAAAAACATCATTTTTGTTTAATATTTTACTACACTCAATCATATGATCATTAATTCATTATTACTACGAAACACTAATTAACTGGAATGAATATGATCATACGAACAATATGAAATGGAATTGAAATAGCATCTCGGTCCCAAATTACAAACATTTTTTGGTTAATCAATATTAAAGTTAAGCCCTCCCTTTCCTTTCCCACAACATATCTTCAAAGCCTTCACTTCCTCTACAGAGTTGTCTATGAACATACAATTCTGTGTGCGTGAGATAGGCGAGTGTTTGAAAAGTGCTAAAGGGGGAGAAGGCTCAAAAAGGACATTAAGGTTATTTACAAAGTTCAGATTGAACACTTAACTTTTAAGTGGATCAAATTAACACATAAATGACTTATTTGAGCTACATTCGGCCACCCACTAACGTCTGTGGTAAACAGCCCCTCTAAACTTAACAATTCTTTATCCTTTCTTATTTAAAGTAGCCAAAATAAATAAATAAAATCAGAAGTTGCTCCCAGCCATTGAATACATTCATGTCCATTGTTTTATTCGTATTTCACAAACCATTGGTCGCCAGTGTTGGCAGTTTTTAAATATGAACCAAATCCTGCCCTAGGTTATTGCCGATGTTTGAGTAGGAAGTGAATCTCAAGCTTGGCTCATGAACATCTTGTGCCTATAATAGGTTGAAACACCCTTAATGAGAACTGTTAACAACACAAGAGGTGGGTGAATTGTGTGTACGTATGTGGAACCGTGACAGTTTTTCGCCAAGTTCAAGTGTGGGATAAGTGGAAATGCGAAATAATAAAGTACTCAAGGATTTAACGAGGAAAAATCCTTTGGCTCAAAGGGATTAGAAAACCTCGACCTCCCTCGGAGGAATTTTAACCAACTTCACTAATAAGCCTTTGAAAGATTACAAGGTAAACTCTCCTAGTCTACCCTTGAGCCACCCTAACTCTATCCCCTCTAGGAAGAGTTATGCATCTCTACCTTGCGGGTAGAGAGTCTCTCAGCTTTACAACAAAGCTCCTCACAACAAAGAGAGTTTTGTCCTTGCAGTACGAAGACTTCCTGCTTGACTGCGCCATAGTTTTAGCCTTCCAGATCGATGAATTGCAGCTTGGTTTTTCCATAAAAAATCATATTAGCTTCTTCTTCCATTGTACGTTGCCCTCTCTTCCAGATCGACGAATTGTTGCTTGTGCTTATTTCAAGTGTCATACGGAGTACAAATTATGATGTAGCTTGAGTGTTGTTGCCTGTTGGTTGGTTTTTAAATGTTTATTTAGTTGTATTGTAAGCAAAACGAGAGAATACAAAACCATGCTCTGTTCA